AAATCCATGATTTGGTACCCCTTAGGGTGCCACAAATCTAATTAAAGTACCACTTGAGAGTAAGCCGGTACGTCTCATAGGGATTTTTTCAGGAAATAAGATACAGTATGTACCCAACATTAGATATTGACAGTTTTAATTCAGGATATCTATGTTTGGTTCATTATCAGACTTCTGTCACTTCTAGAGCTGTCCCTTCTGTCATATAGGAAATGAGTAAATTGTTCAGTCTTGGTACCTTTTACCCTGAGGGTAAAAATCATTAGTTGTTACATTTGCCTGGACAGCTATTTAATATGTATGAGGGAAATTGTAAAAAAAAAAATGTCCTTTTTTCACAAGGGTAGCACTTAATAGCCAGTGGCTAACAAACCTGTGGCCCTCATTCCGTGATTGAATCGGAATTTAGGAGTTGATTTTTGTGGAGGGAGGAAAACCGGAGAACCCGGAAAACCCTCAAAGTACAGGAGAGAACCAACAAACAAACTCTACTCATATACAACACCGAACCCAGCGGGTTTAGAACTCGGGTCACATTGATGAGAGGCGAGCGTTTACACCACTACGCCAACYGTGCTTTCCAAATAGTAGTTAACAAATAAAAGACTTAACTTGGCATGTAACAGAGGCTTTAGTGTGCCTGTATGGTAGTAGTTGGTCTGCATATGGAATGAAACCACATACGATTTATAACCTTATCCCTTTGGCTACTAATATGAATAACACCCTCCCCCACCCCTCTTCTTCCTGATAATTTGAATAAATAGTCCCTGGTGACCTATTAATGTCCTTTTCTTTAGATCCTAAGCAAACATTGAAGCTTGTTCTAGGAAACACTGCAATGGGTAATTTTTAATTTCATGTCTTTTGAAATAAATTACATCATTTTGTATTTTACTATTTTATTATGCGGTTTAATTTCCTAGAAATAACCGTAATTATTATTATTAAAAACTATTCGTAAGAAGACAAAATTACCAGATATGATTGAATTTTTAAAAAAATCTACTGTGATTTCAGGTGGAGAATATGGTGCTGTGACAGCACTGGGTATTAACGAAGACTGTACAAGGCTATTAGCTGGTCATGCAAGAGGACAGGTAACCTGGAATATTTACTTTTAGGCGAGAGAACACTCAGCTGCCGACTTGGCAAAGCCTAAGAAAACTAAATGCATTGATGATGATTATGATTATGATACTTTTAATATTGGGAAGAGCGGGTGGCGTAGCAGTGAGAGCTATGATTGGTTTAAAACTTTTTAGACAGGAGAACACTCTGCCAGCTTGGGACAGTGTAAGAAAACTAGATGCATTAAGATTGATTATGGGTCGCTTTTGATATTGTCAGATTACCATGTGGGACCTGCAAACAGGGAAGCTGCTGAGGACTATTCTGGATGCACATCCCCTTGGAAGTGCTGTTCTTCATATCATGGTACTTGTTCTCAAAATGTAGTCTACCAAAGGTTTATGACATGCCTCAATTTATTAATTTATAAAAATCTCATCTCTCATGTGACTTAAATAGATTTTTTCAGCTAGCTGCGTATGCAAATTGCCCATTTCAGATCACATGACATTCCCTGGTTCTCTGTGACCAACATAAATATTAAAATATTTAAAAAATAAAAATATTATTACATACTATTAAAATATTTACACATGAAAGAATCAACTCCCAAGAGTGACATCACATGGTCAGAAATGTGCACAACAAAGAGCGAAGCTGCGAACTCAATGCCTGGCATTTCACTTCATGGTCTAGTCATTGGTGCTGTCACTGATATTTTTTCAAGTGTCACTGACTTTATTCATAACAGTGACTTTTCCCCTCTAATTTCTAGTTTACTGATGACCCAAATGTAGCTATCTGTAGTGACAGTGGTGGATCTGTCTTTATACTGAGTTTCAAGTAAGTTCCAACATATTTAATGGAGAGGAATGGTTGGGAAACCTATCGTGTCTATCGTATCCACCTTTATCCTGTGTTTATATGACATTGACCGTGCACAGAGAAGGAAAAGTTGCTCCATTTGTTCACAGTATTCTGAAATATAGAAGGTTTTTTTAATTATTTGTTAATTAATCCTATATGATTAACATTAATTGTTTATTGAAAAAGAAATTGCCTTTTTTTTAATGCTTTCTTATTTATCATCTAGTAACTTAACTGTATCTGCACGGATATTTATCTGCATGGTTTTTGGTCATCGAATGAAAGTTTTCACTTTCAAAATGTTCATACATGAAAATAATATGGAAATGAGTATATTCAGCCATACTTGCTTTGGTTCATTGTGCACAGTCAGTAGCATGTGGTGATAAAGTTCAACCTCAAACGCAAAACAATAGCTTTGTTCTATGGAGTTTCCAAACCACTCCACTCCATTAACTATGGTTCCAACCAACCTCTTGATATTGACCGCTTGTGGGGGAGGGGGTGTGATATTCATTCCTCATGCAGAGGGGGTGTGATATTCACTCCTCATGGGGAGGGGGTGTGATATTGATCCCTCATGGGGAGGGGATGTGATATTGATCTCTTGTGATGAGTGGGGTGTGATATTAATCTCTCATGGGGAGGGGGTGTGATATTGATCCCTCATG